TTACATTTCTGACGAGTGCTTGCTGTGTTCGGCCAATCACAATGCACTGGTTCAGCTGGCCAATCAGAGCAGACTGTGCTTGTCAAAGGAGGGGGCTTTGTTGAAAACGACGTGTTTGAGAGAGGCGGGGCATAGAGGACCTACAATAATGTACGGTATTTGAAAAATAATGTGTTTTTTGAACATTAAAGCATGTCAACATATTCTGTTATACCAAATACACAAAATAATGATCTTTAAAATAGCATCATATGACCCCTTTAAAGTATTTTTGCTTGGATTTTGCTACAATGTAGTAGATCTAGGATTAATGCCATGAATAACCTTATTCTGTCCTTTTCTCAGGGTCAGGGGGTGGTCAGAGAGTGGTTTGACATTCTGTCCAATGAGATCATCAACCCGGACTATGCACTGTTTACACAATCAGCTGATGGTAAAAACCTTATGTACAATACGAGTCGGGGTGCTGCACCTATCAGCTGTTTTTACTGTAATATCGCTCTCTTCTGTTGGTGATCTGTCACACTCATCAATTAATATGGAAAAGGAGTGACATATAAGGATGCAATTCATGTAGTGCCCTATGAGTCGGTGTGATATGCAGTTTTTTTTGGTTAAGTTTCGGCTTAAGTTGTGGTCGCACACAGGCAAAAAAAAGTCTATTGTCTAGCTATTGTACTGTGTCAGTGTATGAGACAAAACTCACAAGTCGCTTTCAAACCAAGCTTTCTGTTGAAACTTAAACCTGTTAAGAAATGTTTCACTCTAACACCGTGTCTACACCGGACGCAGCAAAATACAATAGCACTCATTACAGTCAGTGATGCTGTTTACACTGGATGCGGTGCGACAAATCCCGACAGTAAACTGATGCCTTGTTCTATTTATGCTGTACTGACACGAAGTTCAAATGACTTGCAACGGTCGCTTTGCCGCGTCTAGTGTAGACAGCCTTTAGCGGTTGCAGTGCGGTACAACTGTTGTGTCCAATGTAGAAACGGTGTAATGCAACATTTCTGAGCTCATGGATTTGTATTGAGATGACTAGATTTCTCCATGAAAATACGCCGAACAATGTAAATGCGTTCGCCCCTTTAAAGTCACTTTGTTTTAAAGTGTTCACATACTGTACTGTAGGTGTGATCAAATTAACGCCATTTCGTAGCAAATCTGTGTGACCAACATTTTGAAATCTGCGTGGGGGAAATCGTTCACTCCCACATGGAGTTCGGTGATTTACAGTAAATGTGACTGTACCATCACAATATAAATTATATGCACAGATTTAATGGGGGAAAAAAATTACATTCTATAAAAATGTAGGAGAGACCTAGCGCTTGCAGAAGGAAAAGATTGGATCAGATTTGTGCCAGACAATGGCTTTTTAATTTTTTAGTGTGTGAAGAAGCTCATTGGTCACTGCCAAGGGGAATCTTGATGTTGGCTGAGGGTCTGCAGGGCCATGAGCTCAGCAGGGAGTCGCTTGGGCCATTAACGTCCTCCCGCTGAGAGATGTGGATGTTGCCTCTGAACTCTTGACTATGTAAATTAAGCTTATGACTGAAAATCAGCAAAGAAACTGGCTAGTGGGGCTATGCCTTTAGATAAAACATTTTCTCTGTCATTTATGCAGAAATAGATAACATTCCCTTCTCTTCTCAGATACAATGTGCTGTGTTTACAGTTTGTCAATGTTTGAATTTTTTTTCTCTCTCTCTCAAATACTTGTACAGGTACCACGTTTCAACCCAACAGTAATTCCTCTGTAAACCCAGATCATCTAAACTACTTCGGATTTGCTGGTCAAATCCTGGGTCTGGCTCTCTACCATCGACAGCTGGTGAACATCTACTTCACACGCTCCTTTTACAAGCACATACTGGGTAACCCACTCCACTCACATAGTGTTTATATCAGAGAATTTACTTGTAAATAGTTCTGTATCAGCACATTTTTACATTGAATCTGTTTGTTATACTTCTTTTTGCATGCATTCATACAGATTAGTAGGGCTGCCCTTGACTAAGGATTTTTTGTTTACAAGCACAAGAATAATCACAAGTATATCAGGAATTTTCATATACATCATGCCAACAGAACCCATTTGCCACAACTTGATTAAACCAATATTCTGGTAAACATAGTCATTAACAGGAGTGTCTGCAACATGCATGATATGTAAAAGTGTGTTTGTGTGGGATCTTTGCAGGCATCCCAGTGAGCTATCAGGATGTGTCATCCATTGACCCAGAGTATGCAAAAAATCTGCAGTGGATTCTGGACAATGACATCAGTGACCTTGGCCTTGAGCTCACCTTCTCTGTAGAGACAGATGTGTTTGGAACTATGGAAGAGGTCCCTCTCAAACCAGGAGGAATTGCCATTCAGGTCACCCAAGACAACAAGGTAATATATATATATATATATATATATATACAGGGTTTGAACTCCCGCACAGCGCTGCGCTTCCGCCACGATTTATAAGAGATAAACAGCGCAAATCGCTCGATCCATTCAGAAATTACACAGAATTGTGTTATACAGTTGTGTGATATGACAACATTAATGGTTCTGCCTGAAAACAGCCACGACAAGGTAAAATGCATGTAAACAAACTTTAATAGCTTATTGATCTTTAAATGTTTCATTCTAATTAATTTTAATTTAAGTAAAATGTTAATTCAGTAAGAGCTTGATTAAAGATAAAAATCAGTGTCTCTGTAATTTAGAGACACTTATAAATTAGATGTTTTCCATTTACAAATATTATAAAATTCTTAAAGGGATAGTTCACCCAAAAATTAAAACTGTCATCATTTTTTCATAATTTATTTGTTTAATTTTTTTGGCTAGTAGAAATTATGAATGGCCGGTAACTTAAAAATTTAGTAGCCAATTTGGCTGGTGAGTGAAAAAGTTAATTTCAAACCCTGTATATATATATATATATATGTATATATTTCTCTCTTTCGGTTATATACACTTAAAACCCTAGTGAGCTGTCTACCTGGATGGAATTTTAAGGCATGACTGTTTTCAACATTGATAATAAATGTATGCTGATCAACAAATCAGCATATTAGAATGATTTCTGAAGGATCATGTGAAACTGAAGACTGGAGTAATGATGCTGGAAATTCAGCTTTGATCACAGGAATAAGTTACATTTTAAAATATATTTAAATAGAAAATTGTTATTTGAAATTGTAATAATGTTTTACTGTATTACTGTTTTTACTGTATATTTGATCAAATAAATACGGCATTGGTGAGAACAAGAGACTTCTTTAAAAAAAAAAAAAAAAAATCATACTAATCTCAAACTTTTGGATGTTTTGAGTATATTTGTGCACATTAGAGTATTGCATTTTTACTTTAGCTAAAATCAAACTATTGGAATCAACTGTACAGAAAACCGGGGTAAAATGAGCCAATTGCCTATATTATTTTTGAGTCGAATAGGCTAATATTCATAGCAATTAGAACTTAGTAGTTGTGTCTCCATCATCTTTTTAAAAATCATTTACACTTGCATGAGATGAAGTACCTTTTTTAATTATTATTAGGGACATTTGCCCTCATTTTAGTCACTCAGACTGCTGAGAACAAAGCAGTCTGTCCAAGATTTTGAAGTGAATGATGGTGTTTTTTTGTCTGATTTGTCATGTTTCTGTGTGTGTCAGGAGGAGTATGTGCAGCTGGTGACGGAGCTCAGGATGACCCGAGCGATTCAGCCGCAGATCAATGCCTTCCTGCTGGGCTTTCACACTTTCATCCTCCCCTCGCTCATCCAGCTCTTTGATGAATATGAGCTGGTCAGTAGATTCCTCCTCTCATCTCTGCATGAGACTCCTGCTTCTATCTCTTTATATTCTCATGTTGCATTTTTCATTTGGAGTTTCCCTTTGCTATTTTTCTCTCCTGTGCTCACTGAAGAAACACACACACACACACACACACACACAGCAACCATAGTATGTTTTGTAGTATGGATTAAGATGAAAGCCCTGAACACCAGTAAAATGAGCAAGTTAATAAGCTCACTCATACACAGTCTATACAAAATTAATCCACAACATAAACAAAATACTACAGCTTGCATTTGCACAGGTTATGTAGTGAACGCACAAGTAAACTGGAACCAAGTTACATGCTAATCATAATGTAACTCTAAAATAGAGAAAATTAACATCAATATAACGAAGAATTCACAACAGAGGAACAACACAATAGTTAAAACTTCAGTATACTCATTTTTCAGAAGCTCAGGCTTTCACAAGATAAAACTTTTACATGTTGATAAAAAATTATATGCTATGCCATTTCAGTCATTAAATGCAATTAATAATTTTCAGACAACAATATCAGACTTGATATAAGTTTGTTAGTTTTTGCACAAAGCCACAGCAGTTTTGGGATTCAGCAGTGTTACCCAAAAAAAATAAATTGTAATGATTTTATAACATGCATGTAATTCTAGTGATTTTTTTTTCTCTAGAACAGACATGACTGAATGAATGAATGAATAAATAAAGTCTTCTGAAGATGTAACAGTTTTGTGATCAATAGTTTTGTCATAAAACTTTTAATTAAGTATTTGCTGACAAACTACCTCTTTGCTTGTACACTTACAACACGGTGCCGCTAGATGCTTTGCACCAGGTTTGACATCAGGTATGGCATATTTGAAACAACATGAGAGTAAATGATGAGAGAATATAAATTTTTTGGAGAGCTGTTAAGAATGCACCAGAATCTTAGAAGGTGTGTTTGATGGCGTGGTATGTTTTATGTTTGTGTGAGCAGGAACTGCTGTTGTCAGGCATGCCTGAAATTGATGTGATGGACTGGAAGAAGAACACAGAGTACACTAGTGGCTACGACCTGCAGGAGCCTGTTATACAGGTATCCCATCAGCACCAGCACACACAAAACATGCTGCTTCATAGAGACGGATGATATACATAAACGATACATATAAATATACATAACAAAACAGTGATGTCAAAATGTTTACATTATCACATTTATGGTGAGACCACTATTGCTAGTCAGAAGGTCCGTCAGAGATAACAACAGTAGCTTGGCAGAGAGTAAACTGCCTGATGGCTGCGTTGTAGTTATAAATGGCGATTAAAAACTATATATGAAAATGTGTACCAGTTGACAAGTATCTACCAGGCTGTGATTAGAGACTGTGTGTTTTTGTTGCAGTGGTTTTGGGAAGTGGTTGAAAATCTCACTCAAGAAGATAGAGTCCTTCTCTTACAGTTTGTTACAGGAAGGTACGTATAGTTATTTCCTTATTCTGTATGCTGGCACTTCATGCTGTATAAATATTGTCAGAAAGTAACTGACCATTTATAATTGTATGACACTTGTAAGGTACAAAAAAGGGTTTGAAAATGTAAAAATTCCTTCCTTCCTTCCTTTATTTCTTTTTCTAAAAATGTTCCAGTGAAAGGAAATATTTAATACAGAAGCCGTAAACTGCAACATGAAAAATAAGACGTTTCCTATGAAAGCCCATTTTCTGCCATGGAATAATAGATTAAAACGAGTAGATTCGACTTTTTATGTCCCTCTCACAATTGAGATGAATGCAATTATGAAAAAATAAGTCACAATTTAGAGTTTGTTTCTTCAGTTTGGATTTTGTTTGTTCAGAATTGCAAGAAACAAACTCCAAATTGTTACAATTTGTCAGTCGTAAATTTGTAATTGATTTGAAATTTGTAAATTTATTTATTTATTTTTCATGGTGGAAAATGGCTTCCATACTGTCCTGATAAGATGCAACTGAAAAAATATATATATTATTATTATTATTATTATTATTATTGCTAGCTAACAATTTTTTAAAAACATAAAAAAATTGAGAGATTTATTTGAGAGAGAAAAATCAGAGAGAGAGAAGAAATTGGAGAGACAAAATTATTGGTTGGTTTAAAGAATGTTACATATTTTGTAATGGGTTAGTTTATATTTATACAACGGATAGTTCCGGTCCTTGATTCTGATTGGTTGAGCCAAGTTCAAAGCTGTTGTAAATTACTCTACAAACATACACCTTTGTTTGCATTTGTGTGTTGCTTGGAAACCACTTTGTTGGAACCACAACCGTTTCTGAGGAGCTACATTGTTTAGCGGAAGAATTGTTTTACACTTTATTTGCTCTGTTTTATTTTGTGAAACCTTACTACGTATATGGAATAACCGTTTTATAAAAACTCCGCTTCGCGTCGTGCCTAGCAACGCCCCTTAGCTCTTATACATTCACTGTAAACCACGGCTTCTTGGGGCTTATTGCTTTAGTAAAGTAGTTTACATACAAAATGGTTTCGGTAAAATGTGTAAAAAAAATATATGGAATAACCGTTTTATAAAAGCAATAAGCCCCGTGAAGCCGTGGTTTACAGTGAATTTATAACAGCTAAGGGG